CTTGTTTATATAGGCAGCCTAGGCCTCAAAATGGCTGCCCTAATCAGACACCTGGAGGCTGCCAGCTCCAGGCCCTTAAAGTGGCAGAGACACCCTGTGCTCTGCCACACTAACATTTCCCCATAAATTAATACGCAGAAGCATTTATGGAATGGTCACTTAATTGTCCACCATGTCCCAAGATCCAAAAAACCCAGGCACAACATGAATCAGTCTCAGAAGCTGTCTCTTTCTATAATTTAAATTTCATAGATTCATAGATTCATAGATGTTAGGGTCGGAAGGGACCTCAATAGATCATCGAGTCCGGCCCCCTGCATAGGCAGGAAAGAGGGCTGGGTTTAGATGACCCCAGCTAGATGCCTATCTAACCTCCTCTTGAAGACCCCCAGGGTAGGGGAGAGCACCACCTCCCTTGGGAGCCCGTTCCAGACCTTGGCCACTCGAACTGTGAAGAAGTTCTTCCTAATGTCCAGTCTAAATCTGCTCTCTGCTAGCTTGTGGCCATTACTTCTTGTTACCCCCGGGGGTGCCTTGGTGAATAAAACCTCACCAATTCCCTTCTGTGCCCACGTGATGAACTTATAGGCAGCCACAAGGTCGCCTCTCAACCTTCTCTTGCGGAGGCTGAAAAGGTCCAGGTTCTCTCGTCTCTCCTCATAGGGCTTGGTCTGCAAGCCCTTAACCATACGAGTGGCCCTTCTCTGGACCCTCTCCAGGTTATCCACATCCCTCTTGAAGTGCGGTGCCCAGAATTGCACGCAGTACTCCAACTGCGGTCTGACCAGCGCCCGATAGAGGGGAAGTATCACCTCTTTGGATCTATTTGTCATGCAACATTTCTTGTATAGCAGCGTGCTTGCTCTCTCCAAGCCAGGGAGATCTGCATAAACTTTTTTCCTGAGATTTTATAAACACTCAAGTAACATAATCTGTTAATGTAAAAACCTGCTTGTATATGAAATCATCTGGTATCAATGTCATTAAATCAATATTAGTAAAGTTACAGGATCTAGGTTACATAAGAGCCATCAAACTCAGTTATACTTAAAAAAATGGTATTGAAACACAAGTCAATTTGTTTTTCCTACATCAGTGGGTATTAACTTTTCCTGATGGTGAGCTATCAGAGATCAATGAGAATTTTTTCCCCATTGTAGGCAATTTCTTACACTGGAGAGATTTCTATTTTAATGATTAAGTAGTGTGGTAGAGTCTTAATTAAGTCCACAGATTTGTGAGTGTTTTACAGAGGGTGGCGTTATTGTTAACAACTCAGAAACAACTAGATTACGTTACCCTTATTCAGGGGTGCCCAGTATCTGTTTTGTCAAATAGTGCCACTCATATCAGAAGGACTGCTGGCAGATTAAGATAATCACCCCCAAGAGTAAATGCACCACAACTGGGCCCATAACTGAGATCACCGCTGTTCAGTTATGCCTAAGTCTATGTAACATTCTTAAAGGATAATGACATTGAGACCGCGTCTACGAGATGCTTGCTGCACAGTAGCTCGTTACTACGGCGCAGTAGCTCATTAGTGCTGTGCAGTAGCATCACAGGGCATGAACCATGACATGACGCTTCTGCACAGTAGTAACGAGCTACTGTGCAGTCAGAGTCCCCAGGAAGCTATGTGGGGACACTACTGCACAGTGACGCTGGTTACTGCGCGGTCATTTAGTACTTGAACATGCAAGTCCTAAAGGACTGCGCAGTCAGCGTCTCATGAAGATGTGGCCTGGGTGAGATACTTGGCTGAAGTTGTTCCAGTAAAGTCACAGGTTGCATACAGGTTTTATTTTTCTTTTTATATGTGTTTTTTTTGGTCTTTGCTAGGAATGTACCGTTTTACGTAAGCTAAAATAGTTAAAAACTAGGACAAGAATTAAAAGCACAGTGACAAAATTAAGACAATATTCAAGAATTAGGTAATAAGTCTAGATTGACCCTGCAGAGGGTCTAGAAAGAACGTCCTGCTATTTGTTATTGTTATACACACAAAAATATTGGACAGACTCAGAACCCAAGTAAAGTGACACCTTTGCATAGACACATCGACAAATGGATTTGTGTATCTGTTCTCTCTCTCTCTCTCTCTCTCTCTCCATATATGCACACATGTAGGTAGCAATATAGACTATGGTAGGTTAGACATCATGTGGCCTCACTTAGTCTGCTGCTTTGAAGTTTGTTATATTTAGGTTTAAAGCTAAATTTGCTTTGACAGGAGAGACAATCGTTTGCTTATTCATTTTCCAGAGGGAGGCACATTTGGGTTTTATTTGTGCAAAATGCTTAACTAAAATACACAATTGAAGCACTGTATCTTATTAACTACAATATACAACTGAAGCAATGACCCTCAAGAGTCCTTTCCCTTTAGTCAATTAAGAATTAAGACTTAGCTAGTACTATCTTGCAAACGCAGGATGACTGTTACTGTCTCTATAGGAAATCTTTTATTTTTAAGCCTTCCTGTCTCTCCCTGTCATACGAGTGAAATGATTTGTCATAGGAACCACTCTAAGATTTCTTTCAGTTCCCTTCTTCAAGAGAGCAATAGGCATGATGGACACAATATAATACACATAATGGCCAGAACATTAGCTTAGGTTCTGCTCTATGCCCTGGCTGCTGGTGGAGTGAAATAAACTCTCCCAAGGAAACTCAAGACTATACAAAGTCACAGAAAGCAGTTTTCAAGCTGCTGGTTCTGGCCCATTAGTCTTCTGCAGTTCCCTAACTCTTTTAGTCTGCAGAAATAGTTCAGGATCCAAGTACTGGAAGCAAGGCTGTTAGAAGGGAAGCGGTTCACAATATGGAAGGTTTAGGAACGGTATCGTTGGAGTATTTGTGTGGCGATAGGTCCTTCTAAAAGAAATGTGACAATTAGGATTAATCTGCAAAATATGCAAGTTATGAACCAGACCCTGTGGGTAGGCAGCAGTGTCAGGATCTTAATATACACCAGAAAACAAGAAAGGGATCTTTAGCTGTGATTAATCAACCACATTGGCTCTTCTGCAGTCATACTCCCTGCTTCGCCCCATGAAAGAAAGTGGCACAGTGGGTGTAGGGGTTAGATTGCACCATTTTCTGACATGTCATGCTGTCATAGTGGCCTCTTGAGAGCCATTACTAACAGTCCCCGGCATTTATATAGTTCTATGAGTGTTTGAAACACTGTCCGGATAATTAGTTAATCACTGTGAGGATGGTGATTATATTATTACATTTACAGGTGGGTAATAATGCAACTTGTCCAAGGGATAGCATGAGGCCAGCATTAGAAAATACACCCACTTAATTTCCAGCTCTGGGTTCAGTTTTGCAAACCGTACTGGTTCTCATTACAGACGTGCACTCCCTACTCACTGGTTTGACCTGTTTGGGCTCAGCTTGACTCTTGACCACTCCCAGAGGAAGAGAGCCAGAGTGGTGAAAGCAGAGAGCTGTGTTACCAAAGCTTTGCACCAAGCTTGATCCTGACACCGTTGAGGCTTTAGCACTTGAGAGATCCCCTGATGGAGAAAAAGGGGCATTTGGATAGCGCGTGAGAAGATTCTGTAGAATTATTGCTTCTTTAGGAAGGCAAGGGGGAATGAGATGATGCTTCCCCCCACCCCAGGTTCTTTGCCAGCTTTGTTACTCATTTTTAAGATGAAGATGTAGAGAAATGATTGTACGTAGCACCCATCAAATAACTGTGCAGCACAGTGCGCGTCTGACAAGCAGAACAGAAAGTTCCATTAAAATTATCTAGAGAGGCGAGTCAAGAACAGTTAGTAAATGCCCTTATCAGTTGGATAGATATTTGGAGGCTGTAAACCCTAGAAGTATGTTGAAATTCAACAGCGAGCCTCCTGGACAAGATAGGAAGTTCTTTGTTATCAACTGGTTCGGGGGTATCTGTGTTGCCTTGTGCCTGACACTTCTTGTAGCCGTGAAGAGGGAAAGCTGCATCAGAAATGTCTTGTATGCACTTGATTTTCAGACCTCTGTAAAGTTCCTTTTAAGTGCAAAACCAGGAGAGCAGTGCTTGCTTATCTTGTGGTTTGAGAGCAGCGCCGGCCTGGTGCGGTAATGATCGGACCACTATTAGTTTATCACTAACTTGCTTATGTGACAAGTCCTAAAGGTAACTTGAGGGTGGGATCTAATTCAGTACTGCGATGCTGTACGTCATGAATGGGGCAGTGAATTTAAGATGGAAAAGGCCTTTGAAAGCAGATTGTAGCAGATTTTGTGCCCGATTCTCCAGTCTATGACTATGTGAGTGGAGTTAAGCTGGCATAAAATCGGTGTAACGTAGTGGAAAAGTCCTTCTGAATGGAGAAGGTTGAATCAGCAAGTAATCAGTTTGGAGAAGTGCTAGAGTGCTACCTAAATGCCAAACTCTTAAAACCAAACCTTGGAAACTGGTTTTTATTATATGTTTAATAATAATCACCATTCTGCAAATTAAATGCCTACTAATCCTTGCAATACATGACTTTCACTGATATTCACCATAACATTTTATGGCTTTTTTGGGTGGATGACAAGCATGTTTAACTTTGTGCACAGTGGGTCTATTAGAGCTTTGTTATTGTCTTAAATAGGACGAGGATTTCAGCAAATGGGTCAGCTCACTCTATGTAAAATTCAGTGTGTGGAACTCACAATGTGTAACATTCAGATTTAACATTTAAATTAAAACTGAAGGCTTTTCACAGCTGGGGTTTGAGCACAGAGCACCAGGAATAAAATACTGTTGGACAAAATCTGCTTTCAGTTACACTCTGTTAATCTGGATTAATTCTACCGAAGGCAGTGAAATAATGAAAATTGACACTAGTTAAACAGAGGGCAGAATTCGGCCCTTTTAATGTTTACATTTATTATTAGCTTTTTCTCCCTTATAATTTCTATTTCTCTTCTTTCAGACTCCCTGGCAATATAATCAAGCAGTGAATAAAAGCAACAAAGTTTACCTTTACTGCGCATTTCTGGACTATAGGTATGTGTTGTAATTCTGAACATCTTTACTGTGATCTGCTTAAACTAATTATTTATGACAAATTTGACAGTTTCTCTGTGGCCTACTTGACAGATATTCCCTTTGTTCCCTATATTCATAGGATTTGTTAAAGTAATGAAACCACAGGATGTATACCAAAAATGGCTTCAAAGTCATCTTTTACTATAGGCATGGCATTTCTCATTTTATTTGATGATCTCTGGATAAAGCAGATTATTGAGAGAATCAACAGTTTTGGGATGAAACCAACCTATGAGGGCTGATTCTGTTCATATTTCTGAGGGTTTTATGATAGTATTACCCATTCGGCCAGAAACTTGGATGTTGTCATTCGGCATAGCTCCACCAAAGTCATTGTTTTCACTGGAGTTGTGCCTGATTCACTCCAGTATAAACGAGATCAAAATGAGACCCCTTTTAAAGCAGCGAGTTATGCCTGATATATATTTATTGATGAAGTAAGCTCCCACAGGGTGACAGCGTACATACATTTTTACATCTTCACACGTATTTACATGTTCAGTTTATGTTACAGCAAGTAAATAGCAATTACCCATAAATGGTGGTTATTTTTCTGGTAGCTTTAGATAGCTATGTATAGTATGTTTTATGTGTTTGGTTTTTCCAAACGTGATGAGTTTCTGAGCGAATTGTGCAACAATACAAACAGAATTTATGAGAATTTAGCAGGGATGAACATTTTTGAAACTGAAACAGTAGCAATACTTGATGCGATTTTGGGATCTCTCCTATCCAAATTTTGTATGGACAGAATCAACATGCTTGTTTTATTAAAGTTTCATTGTAATATGTTGAGCTGTCCCAGATGTCTGTACTCATTTCGTGTTACGATTATTCATAAATTGTAATAAATTAAAAACATGCTTTATTGAAGTTTATTTAATATGGTTTGGGGCAGCACTCCCATATCATGTTCTTTTAGGGAAAGGCCACTTGAGGCATTGCCTGAGGACCAATGACTATAATGAAAACCTGTCCTTCCAAAATGAGCTTTATTTATGTCAAGATACACTTTTTTGCCAGCGTACGAGTAATTAGCGGCCAGTCTCTGAATCATTAACATGTCTTTGAGAAGTCATGGGGGAGAGGAGAGTTCCCAGAGGACTGGAGAAGGGCAAGCATAGTTCCTGTTTTTCAAAATGAAGGGAGAAAGGAGGACCTGGGGAATTATACAACAACCAGGCTTTTTTTTTTTGATCCAGAAAGATACTAGAACAAATTATTTGACAATCAATTTACAAGCATCTAGTGGGTAATAAAAGTGAGATAAAACAGCCAACATGGATTTGTCAAGAACAAATTATGTCAAAACAATCTAATTTCCTCCTTTGGTGGGATAGGTGGCCTAGCAAATAATGGAGAAACAGTAGATGAAATATATCTTGACTTTAGCAAAACTTTTGACATTATCCCATGTAACTGTCTCAGAAGTAAACTGAGGAAAGATGGTTTAAATGAAATTTTAATGAAGTGGGAGCACAGCTAGTTGAGATACCATGGTTGCAGAGCGTTTCTCTGGCAAACTGGGAAATCACTGCAAGTGAGGTCTCTCAAGGGTTTGTCCTGGACCAAGTCGTATTCATTATTTTCAGTGACATTACAGATGAAAGTTACTTGTAATCTCTCTCAATGGCACCAAGCTGGGAGGGGTTGCAGGCACTTTAGAGGACAGAATTAGAGTTCAAATTGACAAGATAAACTGAACAAATGATCTGAAGTCAGCAAGTGAAAAATAGTACACTTAACAAGTCAAATATTCAGAAGTTCATATGGAATTACTGTTTAGGCAGGAATGATGTAGAAAAAAATTCTGGGGATTCTGGTGCACAGAAAAGTGATTTGAGTTTTAAATGATATTTGTCTTTTTCACAAACCAGAGTTACATTCTGGGATGTATTAAGTGTCATACGCAAGCAGTGTCATATGTAAGACATACAAGGGTAATTGCTCCTTTACACTTAACAGAGGTGGGGGTCTCAGCTGGAGTACTGTGTACAGTTGTGAGCACCATGGTTTAAGAAGAAAGTAGACAGAGAGGAGCAAAAAGAATAAGATGTTTAGAAAGTGGAAGCACCGAGTTTGGATTGACTTCTGGTAAAAAAGAGAAGACTGGGAAGCTGCACATGCCTTATAATTTACAAAGGTTTGTTACAAGGGTATGGTGATCAACTGGTCCTCAAGTCCACTGGGAGTATAACAAGAATAAATTGGCTTAATGTGCAGCCAAAAAAACCTTGGTTAAATATTACAAAAAATCTGGAACAAACCACCTTAGGAAGTTACACAACTTTATCACTGGGATATATTTTTTTAAAAAAATCATCAGTCAGAGATGGCTTCAGGGCAGGGAGATGGATGATCTTTTGAGGTCCGTTCTGTTGCCATGTCTCTGATTAGTCCAATACAATGTGTCATTTGGCATTTGTAGACTAGGGACAAATTCAGTCCAGATCTTCAACGGGTATACAGTAATTATTACATGCGAGTCAACTGACATCAGTGAGGCAGGTCTTCCGCTTGTATGGAGTAGTACAGTTCCGGTGGCCAGGCCAAACGTGCTGCGGTAAGTTGGTATGGTGCCACTGAAGTGAGATAAGTGACTGCTGAATTTGATCTGTAGCTGTTGGCGCTCAATCCTTTTTTCAAACTTAATTTGTCATGTATCAAACATTGAATTGTACTTTGCTAGGTGGGCAATTCCACTGAAATCAATGGAACTATTTGACGTGAGCGAGGGCGGTGGGAAGAGGCACTTTGTATCTTGTACTATACACAACTACTTGCCACCAGGAGCTCTGCAAGTAGTTCATAATTCTGCCTTAGAAATACACTCATCTGGGACAGTTAATGGTGATTTTCCATCCTCACCATTAACGAGTCCACATTAACCATCAGTTACCATTTTGCAATATCTCAGTTATGAGGGGTTTTTTTCCTCTTTTAAATTTATGAAAAAAATTTCAGCATCGCAGGTAATAGACTTCAACTTTCTAATGGCAATGGCTACATTTATTGAATTCAAGAGAATTAGTGTTGGGACTATATCCTTTGGATTAGCAGAGCGTTTACTCTGTGCTGCACTACAAGAAACTGGGTAAATTAATCCATAATGAACTGCCTTAAGCCATAGTTAGTCTGCTACTGGTTCTTTAGCTTGCTAGTTTAATGCTTAGCTCAGGTATTTCTATACAATTTCTATCTTACCTGGGTAAGCAGGTTCAGTTGGGTACACAAATTACCTAGAGATGGTAATTTGCGTGGAAGACTAAATATTCTTCTATTGTGCTAAGTTTCAGCAGCACATGAATTTCAGTGGAAATAAGATGCAAATCAGTTAGTTCTAGACAGTTCTCTTCTTTCTTGTGGTGTTTCTTTTGGATGTATTATAATGTTTGAAAGGTATATTGAAAAGCAGTTGTGACACAAAGCATTCCCTGTACTGATAGCTGCACAGGGTTTTGTCTTTCTGATTTACAATGATCTTTAAATTTGTAACTCAAATGCAAACTAACTTTCCTTATTTCTTATTGCAACCACTTCTTTTGTTATTGCATCTGCTTGTTTTATCAAATTTTATAAAGATGACTTAGTTAAGAAAACCACTTGGGTATGGAACTAAATTAGTCTTTTATATTATTGTAGCTACTAAGAATCAAAAGGTTTATTAAAAAAAAAGTCTCCTACTTAACAGAATTAATGTGCAATTGATGTCAGAAAGAGTTAATTTAATTAGGAGTTCTTGTTCAATGTTTGTGTTCTTTGCAGCAATGGAAGTGGTGTCTGGTCTAATGAGGGCTGCGTGCGTGAGAGTGGGGACCTCAACTACTCCGTCTGCCTTTGTAACCACCTCACCAACTTTGCCATTTTGATGCAAGTGGTACCCCTGAAGGTAAGAATAAGAGCTCCAGACTGTGCACAAAGAAAAGTGTCCACTTGTATGGATAAAATATGTTTCCAACATTCAACCATCCCTAACATCACACTTGCATTCATGCATTAGAAGGAGATAGAACTGGGCTCATTCTGCCCATCTCACCTTTATTGCAAAATCTGAAACTTGACTTCTGAAATGCTGTTTAAACCTTGATTGCTTGTCTTCATTTTACTTTGTTTTTGTAACTGAAATAGAATATGAAATGAGACAGACATGATTGTCAGTGAGAATCATGGTGCACTGCACTTAATTCTCACCCTTTTGACATTACTTTAGGCAAATAAAGCACTAGAGAACATGGTATGTGGAACCATCTTTTAATGGCCAACTAGGGTATAGGCTAGAAGGTGAAATAACAGGTCGTTTTCACCCATAGTATAAATGGCTCTGTTTCAAGATGGAGATCAGCTGATATATAGGGTGTGTGTGTGTGGTGGGGGGGGGGGGGTGTTACAACACAAGAAATATGAGCTTATTTCAACCACCCACCTGATTTGAAAACCTTCTGAGTTACTGATTGATAGGGTAGTATCTCTATGCTTTCTACATCCTCCCTGCTGCTATTTTCTCACTTAAATGGCAAATTAGGTCTTGTTTGAGAAGGCTAGAGCAAAGTCAAGGATGAAGAGTTGAGAATGAATATCCTCATCTAGAGTTTCCCATCACACAGTTTCTTTGTACAAAGTGTTACTGATTGTGCTTTCTCTTCTGTGTAAATATGCAGCCTGTGGATAGGCTTTTTTACTAACTACTTGTGTTACTGAATGGTTTCAGCAGAACTTGTCGAATGCCAGTTGGCAAAACTAGGACTGTGTTGGCCAAATGAGTTTTCCCACTAACCTTGTCATTGAGCCTTACCAGGAAGTGTGATCCTTGGCAGTTTGCACAGAGATTCTTCACATATGATGGCATCGATACATTGCCTACAAAACAGTGGGCACATTGGCAACGCATAGGAGGCACACGCAGGTACACATGCACCCCCTGAGCATGGCAGTCCACCCCCTGCCAAAAGTGCCACTGACACTGCCGGTGGAGCCTGTGGGCAGTTGCTGCTCGCCCCCTCCCCCGCTGCTGCCGACACTGCTGGTGGCATTTGCAGGTGGTCTCCAACTACCTGTTGGCGCTTGCCACCTCCCCCTCCTGCCGCTGGCACTGCCATGGCTGCCTGCGGGAGCTCCCCAGTTGCCGACACCACACCTCCACCACCGACACTGCTGCCGCCACCTGTGGGCAGTTGCCGTGTCCCCCCAGCCTCTGGGGGCACGCGGTGTTCATGAGTGGGCATGTCTACTTGTGCAAATAATCCACTACAGTTTTCTCTAGAATAAAGTACTCCTGAGTAAACTCTCCTGGGCACAAATCTACATGTGCAGGGATGTGGGAGCAGATTTGCTGCTCCTATCAGCAGACTGCTCCCACTGCCTGTGGTCCTGTACCAGGCCCTTGGAGCAGCCAGATGGAGCTCTAGGAGGCTCTGCTACCAGAGCCAGGGTGGGGACTATGTCCCTCTCTCCCAGCAGCAGGGAGCTCCCAGCCCCCACTCTGCAATCGTGGGACTGGGGTTGGGAGATCCTTATCTCCCAGCCCAAGCCCCACGGTCACGGGGCCCAGGCTTGGAGATCCTTATCTCCCAGCACTAGCTCTATGCTCTCAGGGCTGGCAGTGAGACATCCTTATCTCCCAGCACCAGCTCTGTGGTTGTGGGGCTGGCGTTTGGAGATTCTTCTCTCCCAGTGCTAGCTCTGCAGTCACGGGGCTGGTACTGGGAAATTCTCCTATCCCAGCACCATCCCTGCGACCATTAGGAGCACTGACATGCTAATACTGTTAAAACTACTAGTCAAATATTACTCTTAGTTATGTGGTAAGAATTTAGTGAAACTCCACTGAAGTCAGAATCAGAATATAGAACATTGTCATCATTCTAGTACTCTTCTATTATTATAGCCATTTTACAAAGGATAGAAATGAAGCACAAAGTCTTGTATAATTGTACTAGTTGTTGTACATATCCATAGTAAGACAGCCCCTGTCTGAAGGACTTGCCATCCAATTAGACAAAAGAAGGGAACTATGAATATCTCTGTTCTACAGAGCTGTAACTAAAGCACCGATAGATTAAGTGATGTAATCAAGGTCACAAAGAGAGGTGACAGCAAAATCAGGAATTGAAGCTAGATCTCCTGAGTCTGGGGTCAATGCCTGAAGTAGAAGGCCAGAAGGAAATAGGTCAGGGCACTGAGAATCAGAGCTCACCACTGCTAAAGTACTAGACTGCATTTCTAGCATATTGATATTTATATTGTTTGGAATAGTTACAAGGAGAATCATTCAGATTTACAGATGAATTGCACAGAACAGACAAATCCTCACCAATGTGAGACAGGTTAGCATCTTTATGGAGCATAGTAATCATAACTGGACAATCCTAGCTGTGTTTTTATTTCACTTGAAATACATCAAACATTTCTAACTTATTGATGCAAAAATGTGTCAAAGCTGATATTATCCAAATAGTTAAATGCTGGGCAGTATTGTAAGCTAGCTGAGTCTACACTTGGAAGTGATTACATTCAAATAAATAGAGCAAAGAGAATCCAACAGCAAATCTGGGGTAATTTTTAATATTGTGCAATCTGGGCACTTAGGGAATCAAACTCGCACACTTGTTGCCAAAGTCCTTGGAGTTGAACAAGTTTGTATCTTCTTAAGGAGAACTCAGTTACAGTAAATAAGAAAGGTTAGGAGCATAAATATATTGTCATATTCTCCACTGCTGTTTAATAATGATGTTATTGTCAATATATTTTTTACTGGATTTTTTTTTACCCTCCCAGAGTGTTCCATCTGTTTTCATGCCCTTTTGCCAGTGTTTACATAATTGTCCACATTTCCGTTACCCTGGAGTAGATCTGGTTTTGTTTCCTTTCTTTCTTTTTTCCCATATAGCAAATTAAATACAAAACAGAAATGCTACTGAGATGGGAAGTGTCTAAGTGGAATGTATAGATCAGCTTAAATGCAAGGAAAATGTCTCTACATTGTGACGGACAGTGTCAGCACCCTGAAAAGTCCATCTTGCCTGACTAGATGTAGTTAATGTTATAAAAGGATCAGGTTCTCTTGACCCTCAGCTATTTTCCTCTGTTGTGATAATGTATTTTTAATAAAACAGTGGATAGAGCAAGACAAGAGTTCTTTTGCAAAGGTCATGAAACACTGGAGGATGCACAATTGCAAGGCAACATCTTTCATCTTTTTTGGGAGCCATGTGCCCCTAGGACTAATCTGTGAGCACTGGAGATACTTTCAGTACTGTAAAATAAAGTATTCCCAATGGGCAGGTCAGTGAGGAGTGGTCAGATTTTCCTTTACAGCCTTTCTAAGATCAGCCCAAAACAGACTTTGATTCCTGGTTTTAGAGTGAACAACAAGCTAGGGAGCTCATTTAGGCACACTTCTGGACTGGAGCTTGTAATAGGCTCAGAATAGCCCTGGAGAGACTCAGAAGCTAATTCTGACTTACTGGATACTCCAGCCCTGAAGAAACACCCACTTTCTCTCCTTCCTTTGCCACAGGTCTTGATATAAGGATTCAGTGGGAGCAGAACTGGGGTTTAGATTAGGGGCATGGCCTCAGTGTGCAGCGCTGTGGAGATTCAGGGTAATGTTGCAACCCCTAAGCAGCAGTGCGCTTAGCTTTCTGGGCACTGGCCTCTACAAGACCAATATATTAAAGCAACTGTAATACAACAGGCACCCTGACCAAGTCAATGTCAGTGTCGTGTGTCATGACA